CGTCACCCGCACGACAAAACACGGCGGGCTGCGGCGGGGCACGCGCCAGCGCCGATCGAAGCGTACGAGTACAGTCGGCACCGGGCGCACCGAGCACCGCGCCGCCGCTGACGCCAGAGGTCACGTGTTGTCGAGCCGAGTTAACCGGACGTGACACGGAGGCGAGCCCCGATCGCTTGGCACCAGCACACAGGGAGCGGCACGTTTGCCGAACAGGTCACAGGAAGGGCCCCGTTTGCTGAACAGGTCACAAGAAGAGGCACGGTTTCTGGACAGGTCACAGGAAGGGGCACGTTAGCTGAACAGGTCACGGGAAGGAGCGTATTTGCTGAACAATGTCTGGAAACGTCATGGGGTCCTGCTGGTGACGACAGGCCACGATGGGGGAGGGGAGGCTGACTGACCTGGATTGTGTGACAGTTCCACCTGGGTTCTAACACGCCACCTTCGGAAGCTTACGTAAGCCTATCCTGAGTCTATCTTATATCGACTCTGGACGCTACTTATGTGATTTAATACATTTTTCCTTATGTCAGCTTCACCTGGTGATACCAAGTCACAAACAGAAGCCTGCGGGTTCTGGTAACTATTTATTTTCAGCGATGACCATTTGGTCCTTTTACGGATAACCGACGTCATCGGAAAGGTATGACGTCATCGGTTGGTGTCGCCGACTTCCTCGCATTCGCCGGCGGCTGACGGTTTGGATGGCCGTGACCTGCCACGATCGTGGCGCTGACAGGCATGATGTCACACCGGGCTGGCGCTGACAGGTATGATGTCACACCGGGCTGGCGCTGACAGGTATGATGTCACACCGGGCTGGCGCTGACAGGCATAATGTCACACCGGGCTGGCACTGACAGGTATGACGTCAGACCGGACTGGTGGAGGCCGCTGGAAGTCTAGGGACCGGGCTGGCCGTAGCCGCTGCCGCCGGGCTCGCGCTGGGACGCTGCCGGCTGGGACGTCACCGCTAGTTCTGTCTTCGCTCTGCCAACCCGGTCCGATCCGCGTAGCCGAGCGTCTCCCGATTCCCTGGCCGCAGGTGATCTGGATCTAAGAGACCCAATATCTGAACCTCTTGCTAAGAATCTGGTGTAACTTTTGTCCAGCCAGCAATTTGTGGTGGGAAAGGTCGCGAAAGATTGGGAAAATCTTGGTGAACCCAAGTTTCCCATCCAGCTCCGGAAATGCTCGGTGTTTCCCAAGCTTTCCGGACGAAGCCCCTGTCATCGACCATCGCTTGAAAAACCTGCAATTTCCCCGGGTCTTTCCCTCCGTCTGATTCGAGATTTCCTTCTAGAAGTTATTCGTGTCAGCATGTTATCGCCATAGGCAGCTCGAGGAACGCCCCAGCCACCCTGCTGGCGAAAAATTGGGGAACGGCGCGAAAGAATTTGGGAATCCCTGCTGACGTGCTTCATTTTATGAGCTGATCCAAAACATTCCACGTCCGGAACGTTGGTAAACGGTCGGGACAGCCGAGATGCGATTGGGCCAAATTGTTTGGTGCCATGCGTTTTTTTTTTAATGGACATTGGCGCATTAGCGATAAGGCGGACAAGTTTGGGAGTGCAATTCCAAGCGTGGCTTTTTGAGCAATGACAGTCATAGAACGCACACATTTTTGTGCTCTTCGCCTCTTTACTCACTACTCACTTGCAATGCCAATGCGTCTAGAGAGTATCCCAAGGTGCTGGATAGCTAGATAGCTTGCTGGGCATCTGAGCCATCTCTCTGGCGTTCCATGGGTCATCTGAAGCGGCAAGCGTTTCGCTCCATTTGACGCGAAACGATCGAGGGCGCTCTTTCACATCCTCCAGGAGGGCGTTATGGCCGGTTCGCCGGACGAGCTTGGGTGCCGCCATGCGTGCTTGATGTGGCTATAGCGCGGCCATCGCGCCGGCGATAGCGTTAAATTAGTCTGACACGGACGTAGCAGCCTTAGTTGTGACACGAGATGGTGTGAGGAAGTAAAAATCGGCTGTTGTACATGGCGTCGGGTAGCGGCCATGGTATCCACGTGCTGAGCAGTGTGCCATGTGCTGTGGAGTACTGCCCTTAGCTGTCGGAAAACTCCACGCTGGGTTCTGCAGGACGACTGGGGGCATCGCGTGTCGGCGAAAACACTTCACATCATTCCAGACTAGCCCGCTCTAGATGCGCTTGCTCTGCGGCAGACAAACTTGTTCGGTGCCAGGCGAGCTTGTTCGGTGCCAGGCGAGCTTGTTCGGTGCCAGGCGAGCTTGTTCGCTGCCAGGCGAGTTTGTTCGGTGCCTGGTTTTTCCACTATGGTTAGTGTCTGTGTTTGCCGCGATACCTTTGGGCGGCTTGAATTGTAAACATGTCTTTCAAACCGCTCGCTATCGGCCGAAAGTTTTTTGCTCACTCGTATCATATTTTGAGGCTAAAAATCAATAGGCGTTTGTGGGGCTTTTGAATATTCCGCACTATGACGGCGTCGCGTGTTTGGTTCACTCGCCGTGCCACTGTATTGTCTATACCCGCCCCTTGATGCCGACCATCGAGCGCCACTGTCCGTCACACACGTCGTTGAACGTCATGTTGATGACGAAGCTGCCGCCGAGGCCGCCTGGTCCGCGGCACTTGGGCTGGCGGTCCCACAGCTTGTCCCGGTTGGCCTGGAGCCAGCTGGTGAGGTAGAGGATGTAGCAGTCGCAGTGCCACGGGTTCTTGCCGAGCTGCACCTGGCGGAGCCGCGGCAGCTCGTCCATCAGGCCGGCCGGCAGGCTGTGGAAACTGGTTGCTGTTGAGCTGCAGGCGTTCCAGGTTCGTCAGGTCCTGAAACACCTCCGTCGGCAGCACGCTTATGTCGTTGTCGTTGAGCAGCAGCCAGCGGAGCTGATGCAAGCCGCGGAAGGCGCCGCCGCCGACCGATGTCATCTTGTTGCCGAAGAGGAAGAGGTGCTCCAGGCTGGTGAGAGCGCTGAATGTGCCGCTCTCCAACTGCTGAATCTTGTTGAAGCCAAGAAAGAGGTGGCGCAAAAATATCTGCTGGGAAAGGTGTTTGGCACTGAGATCCTTGAGCTTGTTTTCCGACAGGTCCAAGTAGGTGAGAGACGTCGCGTTATGGAGCAGTTTCGTTGACATGTTTCCGATCAGGTTCCGGTGCAGGTCGAGGGTTACCAGACGAGTGTTGACACCGAAAGCCCTGTCAGACAGTGTCTTGATCCGATTGCTGCTGAGGTTCAGGATCTGCAGGAGCTTCAGGTTTCGAAATAGCGTCTCCGGAGCGGACGATAGCAAGTTGCCGGAGAGGTCGAGATGCTCCAGGCTGCGCAGGTACTGGAATGTGTTGGGCTCGAGCGAGCTGATCGCATTGTCACTCAGCGTCAGGAAATGCAAGGCGCCGAGCGATGAAAACTCATCCTCAGCCACCTTGGTCAGTTTGTTGAAAGACAGGTCCAGCACCTTCAGCAGACGGTTGTTGGCCAGCAGGTCCTCGTCCAGCTCGGTGATGCTGTTGCCCCTGAGGTTCAACACGTCGAGGTTCTCCAGGTCGTAGAAGAGCTTCTCGGGCAGCACCTCGAGTAGGTTACCGCTGACGTACAGCTCGCGCAGCTGGAACAGGCCGCGGAAGGCGTTCTCGTGGATGGCGTCAATACGCGTGTCAGCCAGGTGGAGCACCTCGACGCCGGCCGGGATGACCTGGCGGCGTGGCACGCTGGTGGCGCCTCGCAGCCGTCGGCAGCTGACCGAGCGGCTTTCCTGGCTGCAGTGGCAGCTGCCCTCGCGGCACCGGCGCCACGCCGTGCTGCTGGCGTCGATGGGCCACGCCGACTGTTCCAGGTTGCGCACGTGTTTCTGCAGCTGGCCGAGCTCGGCCTGAAGGCGACGCAGCGTGGCCGTGACGTTGGCCAGCGGCTCCGGAGCCGGGCACGGCTGCGGCTGGCAGGCGGCCGGCGGCGCGCCCGCGCGTGCCAGCAGCGCCGCGGCCAGCAGGAGGCGGGCCGCACCGCCGGCGCCGAGGTGCGGGCCGCGTGGGGGCGCCGGCATCTCGCTCGCCGCTCCTGAGCAGCCGCGCTCACCGCCTGCTGGCTCCAGGGAGGCGCTAGACGCACGCTGTCCAGCGGGGAGACGCCGGGACCGGTGTCGGAGACAGCGGACCGGTGACTGTCCAAAGGCCGTTTCCGGCCCGCACTGGTGTCCGACCCTCTGCTAACTGGATCAGGAAGCCCGCAGCCTTTCGTGGAAGACCAACGAAATTTGGCGCATATTCACCGAGGAAGCCATGCGTGCGAGGGTTATTGTGCATCAGTGCGAACATATAGCAGCAACGTGTTTTTTCGGATATCTTTTTGTCAAGTCGGCATCCACAAGAATGTGCTCGACGCTGTGGTATGGCAGGCTCCGACGTCCCGAAGTTTTATGGTTGCCCAAATAAACAGCAACCAAGACTCAGGGCGCAAGGTGGGCGCGTTCTTGTCGTTCCGCTGCTTTTGAAGGAAGTTATATGACACTATCAGTAAGCATTATTCGTCAGTGTGCTTATCTGCCGCAAAGTTCATGAAGAGCCTCACAATTAACACGCCCTTCTGTTCTATCCTGGTCCTAACACGAACCAGTTTGGTGCCATCAATGAACAGGCACACACAGCGAGATCATGGCAACCACCAGTCGGGTGAGGCTTTCTCGGTGGAACTGGTGCGCAAGAAGGCTGATCACTCTGGGTCCAACCAGCACATCCTTAAAGCCGTGTTGAAGTAAGACGCAGAAGCAGTCGCATGGCATCATCAGCTTAACTTGTTTTCGCCACCGGTAAGTAAGTATGTGATATGTGTTTGAGCACCGAATGCCGTGTTTGCCTGTCTTGGCTCCTTTGACTTGATGCGCCACTCGAAGCGGCCTGTTCTGCAGTGGAGCGTGTCAGTGCGTTCAGATGACCTGACGCCCACGGGCCAAGGCGGCGGTGTCGCTGTCAGCGGGCGCCGGCCTCGCCAGCGCAGCCGTGCTGACGCCCCGCTCCTGGCCGGCAGGTGTCCACCTTCGACCGCTCGCACCGGTACAGGGAGCGGCTGTGCGGCGAGTGGCACCCCTCCGTGCACCACCTGGAGGTGCGCAGGAGCCTGTTCGGCGCCTGCGACCCCTCGCTCGCCAGCAAGCACGGTGGGTGGCGTCTTAAGCCCGGACAAGCCCGGGACGTGCTGCATCTCGTAGACAATATCGAAACTATCTTCGTATCGTAAGCAATATTGTCGCTTCATCTCGTAGACACTAAACCAAGCGCAGCAATTTAAACTGCAGCTAAATTCGTGCTGCATGATTGCACAGACCCTAAGCCACTTTGTTGCACTAACTCGTCGTATTACGCAAGAACGTGTACATCAAAAGATTGGGTATTATCGATCTTTTTCGATCTAGGATTGCTTGAGAAACCGATCACTGGTCGATACCTCGCAGAGTGGTGGGGAGTGTAGAGTGTACGGACAGAGTGTTTGCCCCCGTATAGTGTACGGGAGGTGAGGGGCAGCCATCGGACGATAAAGCCCACTAATGCACCTTCGTACCAACGTCTCCATCGCCCTTGTCCCTCTCATTATTCCGTTATGCTCTCTACGGTCATAGTGGCTAACATCGAATCTCGAGCTACGCCGTTCTTGTTCGGGTGCCTGCTGTCGGCCTTCAGCTATCTATAACATCAACTCGATGGTCAATATCTTGCTGATCAGCCGTCCCTACGAAACACATACGCTGTGGTCTTTTGTGGAAGCACTTTGTGTTCTACTTGTGCCGTCATTGGTGAAAAAACTTTCCTAGTAAGGAAACTCGATGGAGAGCGTCGATCATGCTCAAAAATTGGCTTGCGTCGTGCCTGAAATCCCTGCAGATGACAGCTACATTGGACCAGCCTGGAGGAACGCCGTGACCATGTTTGCGTCTGTATGTCGCGGACACGGACGCCCGAGCCCTGCTTGGCACGCGGCCAACTGCGTGCCGGCGGCTGCTGCTGTCGTACGGCGCTGAATCCGGTCTGATGTTGACTGCGCGGTGTGGTTCCAGCGGTACTGGCAGGTGGCAAAGTCCTGCCACCAAGTTTAGAAGCTTGAACCAAAACGTTGATGGCGAGAAGTCCACACAGAGAATTGAGCCCGAGGCCGCCTCCGACGAGTTAGACGGGTATTTCGTCGGGGGGGGGGGGGGGGGTTCGCTGGTGGGGTTATACCTGGGGTGCTCGTTGAGCTTCCATGCCGTCTACCCAGGGTTGGCGCCTGCGCCTTTTCTCTAAAGCCCATGACTTTTGACTCTCCGCACCCTGTTCTCTTGTCTATGCAAAATTCAGGAGCTCACGGGGCTGACGATATTTGCATTAAAGTAATTACGATTTCCCTCGAAATTATTGTCCACGTCATCCTTCATATTCCCGACAGTTGTCACAAATTCTGTGAATTTCCCGACCCCCGGAAGCATTTCGTAGTGCATCCTTTTCACCAGTCAGAGAGCCCATCAAATGCCTTCAGCTTTAAAACATATTCCCATCTTTCCTACCTTTCCAAAGCTTGTCGGGAGGGTGGTGTAGCGGCAGTTTCACTCCTACATGGCCTTACCGCATCCGACCATATACTTGCCGGCACCGACCGCCGGCAACCTACTCTTCTCTGTCTTCTGGATCTTTCCGAAGACTGGTCAAACGGAACTTACAGTCTGTGGTTTGCGTCAAAATTGTTGAGCCGTGGCTCCCATTACTGTTAGTTCCGCGCGGACGCTGTGTGTCAGGGCCACACCGTGAGGAACCTTGTCGTACGGCTCGACAAGCACCTCACTTGAAACTTTCACGTATCTGCCCTCGTCAAAAAGTGCAGCAGTGTCCTCACCGGGCTGTCCCACGTATGCCATTAGATATCCCCTGACCTTTTACCTACCCCGGTCAATGCCTGGGCCCTTTCACACGTTTGCTTTTGTCCTGCCGTCAATGGCAACGAGCCGGAGAAAAACGCACAACACCTCTAAAAGATCTTGAACTTTGCGCTGCATTGTCTCCGGCCGTCCCAAATTTGATCATATCTTGAGGGTGCACAAAGAACTGAGCTGACCTGCTCTCAGCCAGCTCTACCAAGAGACCTCCATAAACTTGCTTCACAAAACACGTGTAACTGGCGAACCGCAAGTTTTTGTCTCTCAGATACAGGACAGCTCCTCTCTTCGCTCACGCTCTACCCCCTCAGGACACTGATCCAGCTCTCCGCGCGCGAGAACGGCGAGGCGGCGCCCCCTGTGCAGTATCGCACAACTCGATAACGCTTTACTTGCGGAACTCCGCACTTTGTCACACGCGTCTTTCAGGTGTGAGCTATGCAATCATTTAGTTGGAATCTGAACGCATATATATATATATATATATATATATATATATATATATATATATATATATATATATATATATATATGTGTGTGTGTGTGTGTGTGTGTGTGTGTGTGTGTGTGTGTGTGTGTGTGTGTGTGTGTGCATGCGTGCGTGCGTGCGTGCGTGCGTGCGTGCGTGCGTGCGTGCGTGTGTGCATGTATGCACCTGAGATGTGTTTTGTATGTCCCCTTTGAAGTATTTGAGGTGTGTTCCGTATGTTTACCTTTGATGCATTCCTGTGTGATTGTTGCTGCGCGTGTCCTTTTACAAGTCCCTCCTTATTGCCTTATTGACCTTATCGACCCTATTGACTCGACACTCGGAGCAGCCATTTTATTTCGGGGAGTGTCTCAAACGTCAATACCTTAATACACATATACGCTGTCGTACCGCGTCTGCCCCGATGTTTAGAAAACGTCAAGTAAACCCATATGTTCTGTATATTTTCTGCGGGTCTTTATCGGAGAGCCGGCAGAACACTGCGAGGCGCAGCTCCGTTCTTCCCAGAGATATAACTGCTTTGGCACGCTGACAGCCATCCACGGCTCGGGCAGGGAAAAGGCTGCTCTAAGGTAGATGTAATTTCAATTGGCAGTTTGAGTCATGACTTGAAGCGTTTCATGCAATGGAACCGCAACTCACGCGGCTTCAAAGTTGCACCATGTGGCCATATGGGCTGGGGACGGAACATTCCGGCCGGATTTGTTACTACCTACTCTGCAGAGGAATTAATATCCGGACCGGCTGATAGTGCGAAAAGATAACGAAACAAACTTGGCGGTGTGCCAGTATAATGAGAACAATGGTATCCACTGAGCGGTGTAGCCTCAGCTATGCAGCGTTGCCTTTTCTGTAAAACAGATTGAAATGACTCATCAAGTGGAGCACGTAGTTCACATGAAGTTCGGCGCCGGCTGTATTCCACGACTATTGTGTCACGTGGCACGGCACCAGTGCGTGGCTTTTGTCCTGATTGATAAATTCGTGTCATGTGGCGCGTACAGCCGGTCCCGGCCCTAGCCGCCGGCGGCCCGACACTGCAGACCCGACAGCGGCACGCACCGGCTCCGGACAAACCGCCGCGCCGAAATGTCGCGTCACAGCGTGACGCAGCGCGGCGCCGGACGTGACGCGTCACGGGACGGTTCGAATGTTATGGCGCGGCGCCGCCGGCGACAGCGCACATGGTGTGGTCACAGGATTACGCATGGTCTTCCATGTAACGCGCGTTGCCAGCGGGCTAAGTGCCCGACTGTGCTTCCCAGAGACCAGAGCTGCTACTCCCTGCCAAGGATGGAAAATAATATACGCACGCGGCCTTCCAGACACCGAGTCAATCGCGTGATCGTGGTAAAGTAAGAAATTACTCACCTTAAAAGCGTTGACTGTTTGGCGATTGCGGGACTTTTACACCGAAATAGAAAATCCTTGTTGGAAGCGCTGCGGTAAATCGATGACTCTTCGTCCTTGGCATTAAGTGACCATAAAATGTGACGAGACATGGCGGTGCCACTAGTTAGGAAAAGCAACTCCAGGCTTCGGGAGCGAATTGTAGCTGAAATGACACATTGCTATGAAACGATCCACCTACCCTCAAATCTGTTATCATGTTTTGTGTCGCGCTAAGGTGTGACACAAAGGTAACCAACTTTCTCCTATTGTTGGATTGTTAACTACAACAACCCAAATGTAATTCGGCGCCAGCTTATAACATGTGCAAGAGGCATTGTCTTCCAATTTTCCTCTCGTGCGGAACGATTATTGATACCATTTTGTCTCATTCAACATGCGTGGTTGCGCCACGCGTCCAACTTTGAAAGAGACGCGATGCTGCAAGACGCCTCAAAGCCAACCGGCAGATTTTACCATGGGTTGAATGAGCAATTACAAATGGCGGCGGGGCTATCGGTAGGAACCGCAGTGCGCTGCGGCAAATATCTCCAGCGTTGCGCACGCTCCGCCGCGGCGGCTTGCCATTCTGTCTGGTCAGGGTATCGGTAGGTAGACCGGGCTTGCCTGCCGGGCGGGTCTGTTTCGTCCTTGTCTCGTGAACAGCCAGCTGCCGGGACGCGTCGCTTGATGCGCTTTGCTTTTTTTGTAAACGCGCCCACAGTGGTGGTTAAAGCAAGATGGGAGCGATCAAGGGGCGCGATAAAGACAGCTGTGCTTTGCCATGCGCGTATTGGGAGCGTCGCCTGTGGGAAGGAAGGGGGAACGCCGGCTTGGGGGCCGAATTCTGTAAGGATCCCTGATTTTCCATAACTGATCTGATGTCGCTTCCTCATATCGGAGGCTATAAACACTTTGCTCTAAAAAAAAACTTATCTCAGTACAAATAACTTAACATTTCCTCAAAGTTACGAAATGTGTCGTTTTTGCCCGCCCTGGCCATCTTGGGGCCAATGGTGAGGGGGAGGGTACAAGAGCATGTGCCCACCCCCAACTCTCTTAAGGCCCCCCCAAGACCAACAATTAAGCGCGAGATTTGACGATCTGAAGAGCCCGAAGAGCTACCGGGATCGCATTAAGGGGCCCGTACCGCAGAACCAGACTCTCAGATGACATTCAAAAGGCCCTTTGCGGGGACTAGGCCTCCTGAGTCGATGAAGGCCTGTCTGTCGGTCAAGCGCCACCATTGCCACTCCATCCGGGCTGGAGTGCCCATTTCCAACTAGAGACAATACCGGGGCCCGAGGTTTACATTGTTCAGGGCCCCTGAGCTAATGAGGGGCATGTGTCAGCCAGGAGTCCACAGTGCTGGAGA